TCGGAAAGAAACAAAAAATTATTTTCTAAGACTTAGTCTTATTGATTTAACTAAAATATTTTCTTTCAATTTAAACGCATACCCGTAACATTTTCATTCAAGTTCTAATTGTTTTATACATTTTTGAGTATGACCCTTCGTATACTGAATACGGCAGATCCTATGATTTTCTGTACTTGTTTCTTTTCTTTCTGATAGATTTTTTTTCTAAGTTTAGGAAATGAAACTAGTCAAAGGTTGAAAGATCTGGAAAATTTTGTTAGTGTGACAAAACATTTACTTTCTGTTTATCCCCCAAACTCCTTTACTCTTCATGGCCTGTGGGTTTGGCCGCCGTCATGAAGACATTTAATGTAGTGTACTCCTCATTCTGTTTCTCTTCCTCTCTGAAACCTTTCAATTTTTTTTTGCCAAAAAATTGTTTTGACTCCTCCAGAGATTGAACTTTCTCCCCGAATATGAATTTGAAGAACAAGACCGCTAATATTTCAGAAAATAGCATATAAAATTGTTTTATGCTCCTGCAATTCTTTGCTTTTCTTAGGCCTTTGAAGTTTTGTTAAGTGCATCTTATTGTTAATTTGTTTTGAGGGATTAAAGCAAAATGTATTCAAGTTTCATTATCTGTTAGAATTTCACAAACGTGGATAAGTACAATTTTTGATTTTTTAAAAGAATTGTTTGGATATTGATTATATATAGTGAAAATACATGATTTCTTTGAAAATCTTCTTCTCTGCCCCTGGGTATTAAATAAACTAACTAAGTGCATGGTTGTGATGAGCAAGAGTGCCTCTACCAAAATTGTGAATTTTATGGTCCCAGGGTCAGGGGTTCTGGTGTTAGGGCGGGGCTCTATTGATTAAATAGTGAAAATACATGAAATCTTTGAAAATCTTCTTCTCTGCTCCTAGGTATTAATAAACTAACTAAGTACATAGTTATGATGAGCAAGAGTGTCTAAACCAAAATTGTGAATTTTATGGCCCCAGGGTCAAGGGTTCTGGTGTTGGGGGGGGGGGGCTCTAATGATTATATAGTGAAAATACATGAATTCTTTGAAAATCTTCTTCTCTGCTCCTAGGTATTAAATAAACAAACTAAGTGCATAGTTATGATAAGCAAGAGTGCCTAAACCAAAATTATGAATTTTATGGCCCCAGGGTCAAGGGTTCTGGTGTTGGGGGGGGGGGGGCTCTATTGATGATATAGTGAAAATACATGAATTCTTTGAAAATCTTCTTTTCTGCTCCTAGGTATTAAATAAACTAACTAAGTGCATAGTTATGATGAGCAAGAGTGCCTCAACCAAAATTGTGAATTTTATGGTCCCAGGGTCAGGGGTTCTGGTGTTAGGGCGGGGCTCTATAGATTATATAGTAAAAATACATGAATTCTTTGAAAATCTTCTTCTCTGCTCCTAGGTATTAAATAAACTAACTAAGTGCATAGTTATGATGAGCAAGAGTGCTTTTACCAAAATTGTGAATTTTATGGTCCCAGGGTCAGGGATTCTGGTATTAGGGCAGGGCTCGTTTGATTATATATTGAAAATACATGAATTATTTGAAAATCTTCTTCTCTGCTCCTAGAAATTAAATTAACTAAGTGCATAGTTATGATGAGCAAGAATGCCTCTTCCAAAATTATGAATTTTATGGCCCCAGGGTCAGGGGTTCTGAAGTTAGGGTGGGGCTCTGCTGATTATATAGTGAAAATACATTAAATCTTTGAAAATTTTCTTTGGGTATGAAGCAGATGAACTACCTATATAGTTATGATGAACAAGGGCCCTAATCTTGCAGAATTGTGAATTTCAAGTGCCTTTTTAAAATTTGTGCAATGTGTGGACCTAGGGTCAGGGGTTTATGTCACAGTGTTAGGGGCACTACTGATTATTGCTGAATATTACTGATTTGTTGGAATGCATTTTTGTTCCCCTACCCTGCGTATGGGTATTCAGTAACCAAGCTAAGCAACTCACCCATTCTCAATATAAGGGCTCAAATAATGTCGCCTCGTTTTAATTTAGAAGAAATACCACTGATGTAATTTTTCAATCAACATTATAAATAGTCATATAACAATGAATAAAAATTCATATAATTATCGATCCGAAAGGGTATTTAAGGAGTTCCAAATTCAAATATAGTAGCCTATTTGAAATGTACGTTACTGTCGCCGAGGCAAATATTATGCTGAATCCCGTCTGTGTAATATATAGTTTTGATTCTCAAGTAAAAAAAATTCTGATAAGTTAAACCCTGTATCATATATATTTCTTTTCATAACATTAAATACATTTTCTTTGTGAAAATGAATAATTTTTATTGTGCAATGTCCCTGTCGCTTAATTCTATTTCAACCACATTACAAGCAAACACAAAGATTATACACCTGATAGTTTTGTTCTCCTTTATTTATTGATGGGCTAAATTTGAAATTTGAGAGGATGAATAACTCCTACTTAGATAATGTAACATGAAATTGAACAATTTGAGCAACTTTTATAAATATGTTTACGGAATGAAAGACATTTTCAATCGTAGAGATAAGAAAGAAATGTACGTTACCTATATTCTTCCATTAAGAATATATATTAAGTAGAAAATATGAGACGACTCTGAATAAGCAACCCCTTGTATCCTGTAAACTGGCAAAGACGTTTTGCTTAACACAATTAAAAATTATTTTTTACATGAAAAGTGATCATTTGAAATGTACGTTACTGAAATGTACGTTACCATGAAATTCGAATTAAGTGAATCTCGCACGAAATATCATGTATTCTCATACTTTCACACACTCGAATGTGTACACAAAGGAAAGTTTCAAAGGTTGGAGGTCGGCTAAATCCAAAAATTAATGAAAAGAAACGTTTCTGATGAGGAAAACAAAATATATTAAGGTCAATTATATGTAATATAATTTTGATACCTGGTATATATTTCTGAATACGAAACCTGTATGATGCATTTCTTATGATATGCAAGTTCAAATAGTATCAATATACTGCGTGTCTAACGTACGCTTGTGGAAGAGAATTGATTTTTATATTTGAAATGTACGTTACGTATGGTAACGTACATTTTGCGCATTTCTAACTGACATTTTTTTTTATTTAGTCAATGATTTGCGTTTACACGAGCGAAACAAAATTATCGTTACAATTCATTTGACAACTGACCACATAAATCCATCTTAATGTACCCCGAAATCCTCGTAAATGAGGTAGATTATTACCACATGCTAGAAAATTTATTTTAAGTGTCTTAAATTCATCTTTAGCAACCTTTTTGCAGTTTGTTTACTTTTAATTTGCGCCTTTTCGTCAATATTAATTTAATTGTTGTTGATAATTTAAAACAAGGTATGCATAGGCTTATAATTGGTAAAAAAAAAAAACAAAACAAAACAAAACAAAACAAAGAAAAGAAAAAAAAAAACAAAACAAATAAACCCAGAACACAAGACGGACACGTACATTTCTAATACTGAAAGGCACAAACTACTCAGTTTTGTTTTAATCATTGCATTTTGGGTTATATTGTTCCAGATCTGTTGAAAAGTACGTATGTTTGTGTTTTGACAAACGATGTTGCAACATACTAAATGAAATTGTTATCTAGACTGTCGATGGATATATTCGAAATAGATTTATGTTAAGTTTCAATGGCCAAACACAAGCATTTGTTAGATCATAGCAAACTACGTCTGACTCTTATTTTTTTGTCTGTACCCTTGCACACAGGTAGAAGTAACTAGGCTACGACCGTTGACAATTTCAGCGAAACAGCACAAAAGAATGGTAATGAACTAAGATGGAGGGGACTCCCCAGTAATATGTGAAATGAACGTTACCGAAGTGACGTAACATTCATGTAGTTGATGACGAATAACCACGTTTGTTACATTATGATTTACTGCGTTAAAACGCTTCATTGAAATGATTTTTATGTCAATAATTGCTTTTTTTCAGTAATCTTTCTTATTACTAATTTACATATTCTTACAAGCTTGAAATGTACGTTACCTACTCATTCCGAGGCAATCGTGTCTTTATAGTGGTGTTTGTGACATATAACACAATGTGATTACATAGAGAATCTTTTTTGGAATAAACTGAAACAAAACGATGAATTTTTAGATGAATTTTAAGCTTTTTATTAAACAGAAATATATCTTGAAATGTACGTTACATTTACGTAGTTGTCTAAATCGGCATGGATATATGTTAAAAAAGACAGTAACTACAAAATAGAATTTTATTACATGTACATGTTAAGTTCCACTATCTATAGAAAATGACAAAATTCCAAACTGATCGCTCTAAACAAAACAGAGAGAAGAATTTAAAGCATATATTTTTAAAAAGTTTTGATACATCTGGATCAAAAAGTAACCTTTGTTTTTTGAAAGGAAAAATCAAACGCACGTTCGTATGCCGAGAAAATATGTTGTTGACAGAGTTGGTAGGATGTTTTGGTGTTAAGATGAGATATTCCAATTGTGATTTTAATGACTACATTTTTTTTACATATCTTATTGGACATTGAAGAAAGAGTAACGTACATTTCAAGCTACATTTCTGAATAAAATCACCCTCTACTTTACCGTCTTGTCATTATTCCATGTATTAAAATTTGATGAAAAAAAACCTGGAAACAAAATCTTCAGATACTTTCCTTTAAAAGTAATTGATAGAAAAATTGTTATCTTGAACTTCATTTTTTAAAAAATCAGAGAGGCATTTGTGCCCTTATATTGAGAATGGGTGAACTGCTAAATGTATTGTTATGATGATCAATGGCGCCTCTTTCAAAATTGTGAATGCCATATAGCATCTGGCTTTAAACATGAATCAAATTCAATAACTGGAAAGTTGTTGCATAATGCTCAGGTGACCTATAAGGCCCGTGGGCCTCTTGTTAATGCTCGACAGGGAATATTACCTAATTAGATCGGGCTCGAAGATCAGATGGTCATGTGAAAAACAGTTTTTGTGCAAAATTACTGACAATGCATTCCGTTGCATATATATTTTGTATTTTCGTTTTAGCATTGCCTGTTTCATTTTGTATCAAATATGATCCTAACTGGGCCTCCATCGACTCGCGTCCCTTACCAGATTGGTATGATGATGCTAAAATAGGGATGTTTATTAACTGGGGGGTGTACTCTGTTCCTAGCTACAGAAATGAGTGGTTCTGGTACAACTGGAAGGGTCCCAAACCAGACCCTGATACTGTCAGCTTCATGGAGAAAAATTACCCACCAACCTTTACCTATGCTGATTTTGCAGAACAGTTTAAGGCTGAATTTTATGATCCTTTGAAATGGGTCAATATCATTGAAAATTCTGGAGTGAAGTAAGTTACATAATTATATGAATTATTAATGATTAGAAATATGTTCGTGTGCGACCGTTAGGGCGAGTGCAGATGCTGATATTGTTTTAATTTGAATCATGTTCATCAAACTGTATGAGACATTTGGTGGGTATAGACTCTAGCTTATGACATATATCACATGACGTTGTATATAACATGTATAAGTTGCTAACCAAAAGGAATTAAGCCTTAACAGTGCTGAAAGTAAATGAAGAACATTTCGTTTACTATTTATCTTCAACATATATCCATTAAATCAAGACGAGTTAACTTTTTGTTGAATTTTTGCTGTTATTCACGTGAGACGTATAGCTTTAACAAGTGATGCTTTGTGGGTCCAGAGGAACTGCGGAAAAAAATTCGTTTGGATCAATGTGCAAAGTCCGAATTTTCTCTTCACCCAGGCAGGTGTTTTTTTAAGAGCTCACAGTGACAAGCAGCACTTTTTGGCACTTGTTGCGCTCGCTAATATATAATGATTACGAAATAATGTGTTTTATTTTTAAAATTTTAACGCACATAACGTATTTTTCAACAATTAATTGCTGTTAAATTGAATGATTCACGTGAGATGTAGCTTTAACAAGTGATGCTTTGTGGGTCCAGAGGAACTGCGGAAAAAAATTCGTTTGGATCAATGTGCAAAGTCCGAATTTTCTCTTCACCCAGGCAGGTGTTTTTTTTAAGAGCTCACAGTGACAAGCAGCACTTTTTGGCACTTGTTGCGCTCGCTAATATATAATGATTACGAAATAATGTGTTTTATTTTTAAAATTTTAACGCACATAACGTATTTTTCAACAATTTATTAAAAAATGCCTTATATTGTGTAAACGGCCAATTCTTGTTACTTGTTTAATGGGAGAGGAGAAAAATGGAGTGGATCAGACTGGGATTTGAACCCTGGCCCCCTGAATCTCCAGTCAGGAGATCAACCAACTGCTATCTGGCCACTGGTGATCAAACCCAGCTTACCGTAAAAACTTGGAAGCTTTTATTTGATTTGGTAGATAATTTGCTGTATGCTTTTGCTGGGTTCTTTTTGACGATGTGGATTCATTATCTAAGAATTTTTTTTGCCAATAGAGTAGGTTAGTTTTGAGTTTTATTTTTTAACTTAGGTATGTTGTACTGAGTACAAAACACCATGAGGGGTTCACCATGTATCCTTCTAAATACTCCTTCAACTGGAACTCTGTAGATGTAGGACCTAACAAAGACCTCATCAGTATGTATATTTTTTTTTTATCATTAATGAAATCTTTGAACTATACTTTAATCATTATACTAATCATGTCTCTCAAACTGTATATTTTTCTTTATTTGAAAAGAGGTATATTGGAAGGAGATGTGAAATGTAATGACTATGAAGTGCCATCTAACTGAACAAGTTGATTTTCTTCTTTTCAGAATACATATTTGCCTACCTAGCTGGCAGTGGTGTTCATTTTGGAATTTATCACTCATTGTTTGAGTGGTTTAACCCTCTGTATCTCCAGGATAAGGACAACAACTACACAACTCAGAAGTTTGTCAAGGTAAGAGGCATAAGAACAACACAGAAGTTTGTCAAGATAAGGCATAACTACAACACAAAAGTTTGTCAATGTAAGGCATAACTACAACACAGAAGTTTGTCAAGGTAAGGCACAACTACAACACAGAAGTTTGTCAAGATTAGACATATCCACAGCACAGAAGTTTGTCACTGTAAGGCATAACTACAACACAGAAGTTTGTCAGGGTAAGGCATAACTACAACACAGAAGTTTGTCAAGGTAAGGCATAGCTACAACACAGAAGTTTGTCAAGGTAAGGCATAACAAGAACACATGTTTGTCAAGGTAAGGCATAACTACAACACAGAAGTTTGTCAAGATTAGACATATCCACAGCACAGAAGTTTGTCACTGTAAGGCATAACTACAACACAGAAGTTTGTCAGGGTAAGGCATAACTACAACACAAAAGTTTGTCAGGGTAAGGCACAACTACAACACAGAAGTTTGTCAATAATGACAACACAGAAGTTTGTCAGGGTAAGCCATCACAACAACAACACTGTGTAATGAATGACTTTAATTTTAATATTCTTTGTATAAAAGAGTGTACTAAACAAGAGATAACATTGTTGTGATCAAACTTTAGATAATTAACAAATAATAATGGAAATTTTCTTATCGTATTCAGGAGAAAGGTATGGCTGAGTTGTATGAGATAGTAGAGATGTATCGCCCTGATGTTGTCTGGTCAGATGGAGACTGGGAAGCACTAAGCTCTTACTGGAATGCCACACAGTTTCTGGCCTGGCTGTACAATGAAAGGTAAATAAACATATCCACACCATACAATGCCACACAGTTTCTGGCCTGGCTGTACAATGAAAGGTAAATAAACACATCCACACCATAGAATGCCACACAGTTTCTGGCCTGGCTGTACAATGAAAGGTAAACATATCCACACCATAGAATGCCACACAGTTTCTGGCCTGGCTGTACAATGAAAGGTAAACACATCCACACCATAGAATGCCACACAGTTTCTGGCCTGGCTGTACAATGAAAGGTAAACATATCCACACCATAGAATGCCACACAGTTTCTGGCCTGGCTGTACAATGAAAGGTAAACATATCCACACCATAGAATGCCACACAGTTTCTGGCCTGGCTGTACAATGAAAGGTAAACATATCCACACCATAGAATGCCACACAGTTTCTGGCCTGGCTGTACAATGAAAGGTAAACATATCCACACCATAGAATGCCACACAGTTTCTGGCCTGGCTGTACAATGAAAGGTAAACATATCCACACCATAGAATGCCACACAGTTTCTGGCCTGGCTGTACAATGAAAGGTAAACATATCCACACCATAGAATGCCACACAGTTTCTGGCCTGGCTGTACAATGAAAGGTAAACATATCCACACCATAGAATGCCACACAGTTTCTGGCCTGGCTGTACAATGAAAGGTAAACATATCCACACCATAGAATGCCACACAGTTTCTGGCCTGGCTGTACAATGAAAGGTAAACATATCCACACTGTAGAATGCTACAGTTTCTGGCCTGGCTGTACAATGAAAGGTAAACATATCCACACCATAGAATGCTACACAGTTTCTGGCCTGGCTATACAATGAAATGTAAATAAACACATCCACACCATAGAATGCTAGAGAGTGCCTGGCCTGGCCATGCAATGATAGCCTATCCACACCTTACAAAGTTGTTTGGTACTCAGGCCATCATTCAGGCCTTACCCTTGGTCCTCTTCTTTTTCTACTACATTATGTTTAACAGTTGATGATGCCTGATTTGACTAGCAGATTATAGAAATATTACAGTGTAAAACTGTCATTTCAGCCCTGTCAAGGATACAGTGGTTGTTAATGATCGCTGGGGCTCTGACTCCAGATGTAAACATGGAGGCTTTCTCTCATGTGATGACCGCTTCAACCCAGGTAATTTAGCTGAAACTTGTGATTATTTCATTTAGTATTGTAATATTCTTATGTTAAAACTGTCAGTTAAAATTGTATTCCCCATTTTAAAAAGTGAGTTATCTCCCCTCAAAATTGGAACTCTTCTACACTAGCATGACTTCCGCGGACTACGCACTGCGATAATCCAACAAAAATAGTGATCAACTTACACACTGCATTTAAAAATTTGAAAAGAAGGAAATGGTTTGCAATTTTTTTAGATAATAAGCGATTTTTAAAGGGTCTGTTAGCCCCCTCCCTTTCTAGAAAGCTATACGAATTAGCCAGGCACGTAGCATCGTCTTAAAAAGGGTGGGGGGGGGGGCATGGAAACACGGTTAATTCAAATGAAATAGGCCTTTAATTGTCACCAAATGTGTTCTTGTAAGTAAAAGTTCTATGTTATGATATACAATCGAGCAAAAATGCAGTTTCTTGGTATTGGTCACGGAAGACGAACTACTGCTGTATATGCAGCAATTTCAAAGGTAAAACTGTAGATGGATATGTCATCAGTCTTCAAAAAATTCCTAGAGATGCAGAGAAGAAAAACCGAAAATTAGCTTTTGTTTAAAAAAAAAAAATAGGCCTATATTCGAATATGTATCAGCATTTTATCAGTAATTTGTTTCGTTTTTTTTGTAAGAGGGGGGGGTGGGGGCTCACACAGCGCCTTATTATACTACTATACAGTTTATTACAAATCCAGAAAGAGACTATGAGTGGGCAATTTAAAAAAGATACGAATCAGTTAAGATTTCTTTTTATTCACAAACACAATAACGTTTTTCCATATGACAGAGGCATTACACCATGAACATGTTTACATCAAGAACGTCCGCGGAAGTAACTTTATTTATAGCGCATGCGTATTAAACACAGTAAAAGAGTTCCTTTCAGGGGAAATAACTCACCTTTTGAAAATGGGGAATTACCATAGTATAATACAAGGGAAATAATTTATGTAGGAAAATTACAAAAACGAAAATGGGAAAATTGCATGACCTTGGACCGTTACTCCTGGGGGTTCAGAAGAGATGCCAAATTAGCTGATTATCTCTCCATGGAGGAACTACTTGAACTTGTGCTTAATACCATCAGGTAAGAATATTTCTGTATTAACCACTCAATATCACAGGTAACAACAGAGCTATGTCACCCACAAAATATCATCAGAAAGGAAAAATTATACATACTTAGTATATAATATTTTATTAACTTCCTTATATACATATAGAATATTCATTACTTTGACAAATAACTAAAGGGAAAATTTTGTATTGATTAAATGACAGTATTATAAGCTCACCTGAGCCAAAGGCTCAAGTGAGCTTTTCTGATCAAAATTTGTCCGTTGTCTGTCATTGTTGTTGTCGTTGTTGTAAACTTTTCAATTTTCATTTTCTTAAGAACCACTGAGCCAATTTCAACCAAACTTGCCACAAAGTATCCTTAGGTAAAGGGGATTCAAGTTTGTTCAACTGAAGGGCCATACCCTCTTCCAAATGGTTATAATTATGAATAAGTGAAAAATTAATGGCATCTTTTAAGAATTTTCTTCTCAAGAACCACTGGGACAAAAAAGATGACAACATGTGGAAGCATCCCCAAGTAGTGTAGGGTAGGGCTGGGTCAGAATAAATGATCAAAGTTTTTTTTTTAGGAATCTATATGAAAAATTCTCTTTTATAGAATGGAAAGGTCTGAGTTTAGTTATACAAGTATTGATATGGAAGCATCATTAGTTTGTGTAGATTCACATTTGTTCAAATCATGATTCCAGGGGTACAGAGGGGCCAAAATGGAGATGAAATTTTTACAAAGGAATACATAGGAAAAAATCTATTTAAGAACAGTAAAGCCATTGTTATTGATATGGAAATATTCTCAAATAGTTTAAAATTCAAGCCCTACTTTTCAATACTTAACTGATTTGTGCCCTTTTCTAGCCAATTTTCTCAGGTGAGCGATGTGGCCCACGGGCCTCTTGTTAACCCATACAATGACTTTTGCCTTTTAGCATTCCCTTATAAACATGCTTCCTTATATCTGTTCTTTCAAAAAGGAATGAAAATCACTTTGCTCTACATGTAAATGTCAATTGTTCACTGAAACTAAGAGCATCTTTTACTGTATAGGGAAAATCCTCAGAATTTTCTATTTTAAGAACTAATGTGACATGATTATACATACTAGTATTTTATATGCAAGGATCTTGAAGTAGTGCAGACTTTCAGTTTGTTTAAATTATGGCTCAAGGAAGATGGGGCAGGGTCATAAGATGGAGTTAAAATTTTGATGAATTGGAGGGAAAATATCTTACATGAACAGCAGAAATTGAACCCAGTGGATCTCTTACTATGCTATTAATGTTTATGTTAACATCCCATAATAATATATAATCAGGAAAATCATCTTAAAAGGACAGACTTCATCTAACCAAAAAAACTACCTGTACTGTATCCTGTCATAATGATTAAAATATGAAGTTTACTGATGATTGAAAAATACTGTCAATGGGAAAGGATTATGTTTGCACAAAGCTTAATAAGTGATTTATTTTGTTACAGCTATGGAGGAAATATTTTAATCAATGTTGGACCAACTCCATATGGCACATTTTCACCCATTTATGAGGAGCGATTCAGTCAGCTAGGGTCATGGTTGAAGGTCAATGGCGAGGGTATTTATGCTAGCCAGGCCTGGATACACCAGAATGACACCTTAACCCCGAAAGTCTGGTAAAATACATGCTACTTCTTGTCTTTCCTCTTCTTTACATTGACTATAACGAAAAATCAAACCAATTTGGTATTCAAGTCTAACATTACATCTTTTGCTCAAGTGCATTACTCTCATTTCTCGTTTAAACTTCTATTACAGGTACACTGCACCAAAAGCAGACAAGAAGGCAGCTTATGGTTTTTTTATGAATTGGCCAGTAGATAATCAGCTTATCCTAGGCTCAGTAAATGGGGCTACTCTCTCCAATGTAGCTTTGGTTGGAAGTAACAAGACTTTGACTTGGGAAAACAGTGGCTCTGGTATCAAGATAACCATACCACCCCACAATGTTCTGGAAATGCCTTGTCTATGGGCCTGGTCTCTGAAGTTCTCATTTAAATAATCATTCATTATGTATAACTTCATGATCACTACTACATTCCTGTATTTGTAATCAGTGATTGCGCTGGGTGTCCATTTCCAACAGATTTCAACATTCAATTAAAATTTCAGGAAAGGTAATCACTGAAAGATCCTTTAGGTTAAATTCATCTTTAAAATATGAAATATAATTACAATCCATTGCCTTTTATAAATACCTCTGTAAGGTAGGATTCTTCTCATATTTCTTGTATTTAAAAATTAATGAAATTTTCACATAATCAAGAAGATAATACTGTATAAGCAGAATTTTTAGCGAGGATTTAATTTTTGTTTTATTAGCGAGGGTGCCGAGATCGCTGAAATTTATTTGCGGTTTAATTGTAATAGCTTCTTTAGTGAGCATTTTAAAATCGCTAAAATTACATCTCACTAAAAATAAAATACCAGTTTTTAAGGACTAATCACTAAATTTGCGTCTCGCTAAAATTTCTACTTATAAGGTATTACTAAGTGATGGTATCAGTGAAATTAATTTTGACCATTTTATATTAGAGACAAGGTCAGGTCAAGTCAATAAACTTACATTTAAAAAGTTTTTCATGTCTTTGATTGCGTAAAAATTAACTAAATTTATAGTTCTATAACAAAAATTAAGATGCAGAAAAGAAGATATTTCCATACGCCACCATTTCACCAAAAATATAGTCCCTGCTAGTTTTCAAACACGGTTTACCATTTCTATTTAAAGTTGTACAATTGTGATGAAGAAAGAAAATATGGTCTTTTAAATCTCTTATACCTAAGTATATAAGACATATAAGCTAATGTACTTTGAATATTTCATCTAGTTCGAAACCAGAAAAGAACCCTACGTATAAGCAGAATTTTTAGCGAGGATTTAATTTTGGCTTTGTTAGTGAGGGTGCTGAGATTGCTAAAATTGCGTATCGCTAAAAATTAATTGCGATTTATTTGTAGTGAGTTCTTATGGAAGCATTTTAAAATTGCTAAAAATACATCTCACTAAAAAATGAAATACCTTTTTTTTTTTTAGGACAGATGCTTAATTTGCGTCTCGCTAAAATTTTCATTTAAACGGTATATTGATATAGTACATATATACTAGTATGTAAACACTGTAATCTTTTTTGCTTGTTTTGTGACAAAAATCATGACAATACTGTACTTTTTCGTAATCACAAAAACTGTGCCATAAATTGTAGTTAACCCTTCACAGAAACTGTACAAAATTCTGTACTACATATACAGTGGACCTTCAGATATCCAGACGCCAGATATCCGGATGGTTCAGTATCCGGACGATTATTCATCGGAACTTTTTAATGTTATTTTTTCTTGTTTAACTGGTAATTTAGATATCCGGACGCTTCACATATCCGGAAAAATTGACTAGGACCAAAGCGTCCGGATAAATGAGGCTCCACTGTACATGTATTTAGAAGAAAGGGTTGAACATAATCATATATGTATGTGAATTGATTAACACTTCCCAAATTTACATTTTAACATGAACGTGTGTGAAAAAAAACTATCTATATTAAAGACCTCATTTTTAGCTCTACTGGTCAGAGGGCAGAAGAGCTTATGCGATGATAAGATGTTCAGCGTCTGTCAATTTCGCAGTCTGTCTGTCACCTGTAAACAATTTTCAAACTCTACTCTTCATACAGTTTTCATTTCAACAAAACTTTAGCACTTTATTAGACATTGGATCCTTATTCTATTTATTGGTTTTGAATAAAATCGTCCAAGTGGTACTTTCCCCATGTTTCAAGTACAAATCAGTACAGGTTCATCTCATCAGAGTACGTCTTTTGATAATAATTCTTTACATTTGAACTTTACTTAATATATTAATCTGAAGAAAAAACAACATTGAAATAATATCTAGAATGAATGAGTATTACCTTCTACAAATAACAAATTTTCTTTACAACAGAATTTCATGCAAACACGTTTTAGTGTAGTGTTTTATGTTAAAAAAAATCATTATATTAAAGTGTGACAGAAGCTCTGAGAATCATGTCAGACTATTGATAAGATTTAATGCTTGAGTCTTCATCCACTTTTCAGCTCATCTGAGACCAAGCTTAGATGAGTTAAATTCCCTCATGATGCAGCTGATACACAATAATGATGCCTATTCTCACAAATTGATATGTAGATTTTTCATAAAATTTGCTTTTCAGATCATCAAGTCTGTACTTAAAAAGGTTATTTGATGAATACATGACTTTGTATAATGTCTTTTTTCAAAAGAAATGTTTGCTTGAAAAAACTGTGATAAGTAATTAATTTTTGGTGTTATGTACATGTACATTGCTGTATATTCTGTTTTATTTATTCTGATCAATGTTGTACCCAACATGTAAGATGCTATTTTCGAAGTTTTACAGATAATAATTAAAACACATAAAGCAGTGATTTATTGCACTATTCTTTGTCTTCATTCTTCTGTTGGTACACTGTAATTGTAATTTAGGTCCAATAATACTGTCAGTTTTGTCTCAGAAAAGGATTAGACAGGAACAATTAAAGTTCCCTTTGAATGATAAAAGGACCCATAAAGGTAATGATGATATTCTTGGATGTGCTCATTTACAAGACTGACTTATTATACAGTACGTGCCATCATTAAAGTAGTCCCTAGCTCTCTCTTTTTTTAGGTCACCAGATGTGTGATTCAGTTGACCTGTTATTTGTTTTCATCTATTGGCATGCACTCACATCATGCATTAATATTTGAACATTTTTAACTCCTTCTCTGGAATCACTGAACCAATGTTGGTATATGGCATGATTGGCATCAATGGGTAAAGGAGAACAGAAGTTGTAAATTTCATGATGTCTGCTTCCCACATAAATGCAACTGCAAATTTTTTTTACTCCTGATTTTCAAACAGTCAAATTGTTGACATTAATAAGATAATGATAAAGCACCGAGTCCTATACCTATAAATACCTATATAATCCCCCTTTCAATTTGCTTTAGACACCAATGCTTCTTCAAAACGGTGACCACTTCCACAGAAACAGATGAATTATAGAAATTAAAGTATCAAAAGCTGCATTAAAGTGTCGTGGAACAAAAAGGATATTGCTGATATGAATCGCCATGAATTGGCCCAACTGTCTTGGCTTTTCCAAACATATAGCTACAAAATAAATTAAAATGTTTAAAAATACGATAGACACCGTAATTATATTTATCGCTGAAGGCCTATCTGTACATTATAATATTTTTATTTGAATCTAAACCTTTGGAATTATTCACAAGTACTTGGGTCTTGGTTTATAAATAAGTATGCACCTTATTGATATGTAAAAAAAAAAGTTACATATCATATTTATAAACCAAGACCAAAGTACCTGTGGAATTATTAACTTTGCTCAATGTTTAAATAGTCATTTAATTTGTTGTGCACTTTAAATATCAGCTCATGTGTATTGGAAAGAGTTGTCCCGAATTCTGCTTATCTTCCTTTAACTACAAAATGCAGGTCTTACTTCAATAAAATTGTTAGACTACAAATTTTAAGAGCCTTGAATTTCTATTGATGTTCAATAAATTGTATCCAATGGATGAGTGATTTTGGCATGATATCAGTGTTTTAAAGTTTACAGGGATAAAAAAATCTAAAGAGAAGGAAGTGAATGTTATGTTAAATGTCTAGTGCCTCCTTATGCTCTGTTGTTTACAGAACTGGTTTATAATAGGGAAAGCATTACTTTATAAATGGAGTGTTGTTGCCATAGAACCCAACATGGAAAACTCAATGAAAACTACAAACAAAACTTCACTTCAAAGAGCACGTTCCATGCCTATGGCGTCACCTACACTTCATGTTTTTTTTTCTCTGAATATTTCTAAAATAACATAAAAAGGAAAATAATTAAAATCAATTCATCTTCATTGAATTCTTGTTGAGTTCATTGCTGCAATGTATACAAAGCTGTCTGTTGTTATCAATAAAGTCATTTCTAATGTTTTTTTTAAAAAGTGTCTGGATGTAACACGATTTGGAAAAAGAAAACAATCAAAAAAGACTTGCTCTTATTGCCCTTGTTCACACGGAGATCGTTTAATTTGAATCAAAGTAAGTAACTGCGAATTAAATTTGAAATGTGTTCACACAGAGAATTTACTGCAAATTAGTTTAATTCGAATTAATTTACTACGCATTAAATTACTTTGCATGACCTCCGTGTGAATGCAAAGTGAAGCTAATTTGAATTAAATTTTGACGCATGCTTAATGGCAAAATTAAGTCAAATGCCACATGACAGTGGTTAGCCATAGGAAAATTGTGTTTATCACTAAAATGTGTATACAGACACTTTATGTCAAATGGATCTGCTCTGCAATAAGGTGGTATGATTTACAAATAAAGTCATAATAGCCTTACTGAATAGCCTTATTGTAGAAATAACATTTTAAATCGCATTAATTTACTTCTCTTTAGCAGTAGTGTGAAAGCAATTAAATTCACATCATTTTAATTAGCATTATTTTACTTCGCATAGATTTTCTGTGAATAAACTCTCTCTGTGAACAGGGCATTAAATTATATTTGCTAACTTCATTTTAACCAACAATTAGAGAATTTATGAAAAACTGGTTTTATATTTTATAAGCAAATGAGATTTTTTCCAATTGAAGAGATTTTCCATAGAGTATATTTTGATGTTTGATGAAATATCAAAGAGAATTTTGATATTTATAAACGAAATTTACAAGTATTTGTTCACCTTCATGTTTGTCACACTTAATGCTTTTCGCTTGTCTTGTTCAGGCACCTTCTTTAGTTGATAGTTGGTTATTATCGTTTACAGGTAAAATATCCAAATGTATAACCCCGCCTTTTTTTATTTATAAGTATACTGGTTGGTGTGTAGCCAAGCATACATTTGTTTGCACAAATGTCCACATCATAAAGGGAGAGAGAGGTATGTAAGCCTGACTATCAGTCAATTACATGGCCAGTCTAAATCAGTCAACCACTCTATTGCTAACATACCTATTTTGTCTCTTCAAATTTTAAAGTCTTAAATTGGTTTTAGTGGGTTCGTAGTATAACGATATTGGGCAGATGCTTTCTCATTTTTTAGTGTTTGTCCGCATATTTACAAAAACAGAACCTTGAATATAGCTGCATAACAAACTTATACAACGCAAGAGAATTGTGATCAGGAGGGTCAAATATGCACATCAATATCATAAAAAATTCACTAGCTTCCGGGGGCTTTATCTCCTGGGCCCCCATCTATGCTGTGGGGTCTGCTCTATAGCAACCCCATACCCCCTATTTACTCAGATATACATCAAGAAGTACCCTGGCTACGCCCCGATTGGGATATATCGAGGAGACATATTGATGGATATATCTTTTGTTCATTGCTTTAATGCTATGCAATAGTATATCTAAATGTCGATTTGAAGGCCAACCACATCATATTCTTCTTTTTCTCTAGGAGAATTCTTCTTTGCAGTAAAAAAAAATTTTGTCAGTAAAAAAGCACAGTAAGTGCCAATTGGAACTCCAACAGTTTGTTGGAAGGCCTTGTCTTCAAAGACTGCAACAGTCGTGCTCTGATTAAAGCATAGAGAATTCACAAGTCTACAAATGTATAGTCTACACATTTGTCAAATTTTGATAATAAGAAACTATAAAATGTATCAAGAGATACCAGACCAAAATTTGTTTAAAACATTATTTTACTTTTTGTTTTAATTTTGCTTACTATATAAAGTCATTAAAAAAATCTCGACTCATTCAAATAGTTTTTTAATATGTTAAACTTTGGAAATTCAAATACATGTAGATACATTCATATTATCTGTACCATTCTGATTTCAAGAATAGTAAATGCTGACTTTAAACTTTCAAAAAATCTTTTTGTTGTTATATTTATTTGTCATTGTTGTTAAATGTGACATAGCATAATAAGTAACCACTCACTCGAGGAGATAAAATACACAAATGATAACCATACACATGCTCATTCTATAACAATAATGTACCGGGTAGTATACATATGAACAAATGACAATATTGACATTATGGTGAACCATAGGGACTATATAATGCTTAGAGTCTAACAAGAGTTTAGACTATGTGAAAGGAAAACTCACATAAATCACATAAAAATGAACAATTATAGGTACAGTAAAACTCGGTTATAACAAAGTCATGGGTACCTATGAAATTACTTCACTTTATTCAATTCGTTATATCCATATAAGGAATTCGTTCAATTTAAATGGCTGGGGATAAAAGTCAACTTCGCTATATCCGTGAATTCGCAATATCTGTGTTCGTACTAAAAGAGTTTTACTGTATAAATCAAATCAAATAATTATAACAAAAAAAATTGTAAAGATGTCAATTCTAAATGAGGGGTTAGGCTTCTTTGAAGCATTGAGTATTAGAAATGGTCATTTACATGTAAATGAACTGAAAAACTGCCAAGCAACATGCCTTCCACAAAATATGCCCTGTAAAGATGATAAATATGAAGTGCCTTTAACATCCATTATTTTTTCTCTGGACTCAGCAAATCTTTAACAAGCATCTTGAAACTTTAACAAATCTGTCACAATGTTACTAGTATCAAGACAACGTTTCAAACCAGGTTTTTAAATTATTATTCTTGCAATAGAACAAGAAGTGTTTTTTTCATTATCAGCCATTCAAACTTAATTGTTTAAATATATAATCCTAAATGTCCACGCCCAGAGACAGGGCATTTGTGGGTATGGAATGTCTGGAATATGAAGCTGTATTCCACCGTTAGGTCCACTCTTCCAGGGAATGTAGCCAGAATGACCCAGCAGGTTAACCACAGTTTTATTGGAAGGTTTTGGAGCTCCAAGTGTCACAATATTGTTTTCTGGCCATTCCAGTAGGAATGCATACACAAGTATGGAGGAAAATTTGGAAACGGTGTACCTGCAGTAAATGTTTAAAAATTAAAAAAAAAACATCTGTATTTAATCACAGACAACTTGAGAGAGAGAGAGAGCGAGAGAGAGAGAGAGAGAGAGGTATACCTACCAGACATGTGGATTTACAGTGTCATTTTGGTATATCCATGGTGTTGTCCTGTATACACCCTCGCCATTCACTCTTAGCCAGCTGCCCAGCTGTGAGAGTCTCTCTTCATAAATGGGTTGTATAGTCCCATAAGGTGTTGGTCCAACATCAATCAATGCGTTTCCACCACAGCTTTATTTGTGACATGTTAGAAAGTAATTACGAAAAAAATGAATCTTAAAACAAAAGATGCACTAGTAAGACGTGTTGCAAGTTTTTTTCCTGCTTTACTTGACTGACAAAATACAGCAACCTGACCTTTACCTTACAGTAGTAATGACACAGTACAGTAACCTGACCTTTACCTTACAGTAGTAATGACATTGTACAGTAACTCTTCCATCGTCATAAAGTCAGCTAGTACAGCCTTCTTTCTGAAGCCCCAGCTTGTCTTGTCAATAGTGAAGGCACTCTCCCATTTTCTGTGTTGTAGCTTTCCTAAAGAACACAAAAACACATTGTATCACTTTCAAATGATCATAGGTAGTATCTATCTCTATGAACATATATCATGTACGTTTAAAGAACACATTTATAAAAGGATTGAGTTAAAGTTCAGCTAGGGTCACTTTAAAACTGGAATTAACTTTGAAAGGTCTACATTGAGAAAGGAAAACTTTTGTCTAAAATGTTGTTAGTATGACTAAAATCTTATTTACAAATTAATTACAGTCTTTAATCTTTACCATAGTTCCTACCACCTAATAATATTAAGTTAATATTGAAAATTACTTCATCATCTAATTTATTCGTATTTCATTTGCAACATATGTACGTTATTTAAAAAGGTCTACATCTTTATCTTATTCACCTCTACCTCAGGAAGGCTTTATTGAACATTTTCTTCAAGCTGTGAGGAAGTTAAAATAAACACTGCTGCATTTACTATATCAAAATTTGACAACATATATATAACCTGGATGATATCTGTCAGAACAAGTCAAAACGCCTCCATGTTTACAGGAAACGTCCATCCCCCATCTGTCATTGGTAACTACAGTGTATCTGACGGGGCTACAAAGCAAAAGGATAACTGGTATTTAAACCCTTCAAATTATGATTAAGATTATTAAAATAGAACTAATAATATGATTTTATGGACCTTTCATTGTAGAGCCAGGCCACGAACTCTGGTGCGTTCCAGTAGGAACTGTTTCCGCTGTCTGCTGGGGCTCCATCTGACCACACGTAATCTGGGTGATAAGTGTTCACCAACTCATACAGCTCCGGCATAGTCTTAGTCTGAAATGTCAAACACCTCCCCTTTGAACTAAATGATTAAAGTAAAGGAATAATATATACAAGGTATTATATTTTTTACATTTTGAATATTGTGTACATGTTTACACATATCAATTTTGGCACCTTCGACAGAAATTTTTGCGACAATAACAGACACTTTACTATGGCATCATTATAATGTCAATATAATACACATGGAATCTTTTCAACTGCTTTTTATAGGGATATTAACGAATGGTCACGTGATTTTATATATAAGAAAACTTCAAATGTAAATGTAAGAAATTTAAAACATGAAAAAATGTTATTTTATACAACCTTGGCAAAGTCTTTGGTGGTAAAGTTGTTGGCTTTATCTTTCATGTATAAAGGGTTAAACCATTCATACAACGAGTGATACAGGCCCAGCCTGAGTCCAGACTTCTTTATGGCTGTTGAAAATTCACCTATTAAGCAAAGTAAATCTTTATACGAGAAACTGAAACTTAAAATGATGATTATGCCATGTTCTAAATTTTGAATTTACCAGTTGTGAATAAATGCAATGTCACTTTTTAAATTTTGTATTGTCAAGTAAATTCAAAATTTTAAATTTGGCATTTAACTCTTCCTTTTTGCTTATCCTCACTGATCAAAAAAAAAAAAAAGAGGAGAGAGAATAATCATTTCTCTTTAAATGCTCTCAAGTCTGATATGGTTTATGTCCAATTTTTAAAGTATTTGACTATGTTTGACTAGTAATTTTATATATTTTTCGTGCATGTCTGCAGACAGAAGCCACCTGAGGGGAAGTAGGATCTTTACCCACAAGGTCTCTTTTGGGACCCACACTCATGGAGTTCCAATTCCATGAATACTTGGATGGCCACAATGTGAAGCCCTCGTGGTGCTTGGACGTAAGAACAACATACCTAAAAAAAAAATAAACATCACCAGAAACATAAAGAACAACCTCTGTTTCTGGTTATTATTCAGTACAAAAGGATATGACTTTAATTTATAGTGCTTTAGTGCTTTATAAGTATGTTTTTAGGCCAATTTCACATTTGTTTGCCTCTGACTAAATAATAGATTACTGGTATATAGATACACTTAATATTGTGTTCAACTTACACAAAAGAATAAACTAAGAAGATATTTTATGCAGTTTTGAAATTGTTTATTATATAAAATTGCATTCAAGATATGTTTTATAATTGGACTCATTCTTACATCATGATAACAAGAGGCAAATGGGCCACATCGCTCACCTGAGTAACTTTGGCCATGCTATTCTTTACCAGATTCCCCTTTGTAATGACTTCTGTGACCCGCCCTACCCCCTGAGGTCATAATTTGAAGAATGTAAAATCTACACTTCCCCAGAATGCTTTCACATCAGTTTCAGCTTTTCTGGCCCAGTGGTTCTTGAGAACAAGATTTTTCCTATATATTTCAATGTAAAACTTAGATTCCCTTTTGTTGCCCTGCCCTACCCCCGGGGGTCATGATTTTAAAAATTTAGATTCTACACTACCCCAGAATGCTTCCACATAAGTTTCAGCTTTTCTTTGGTCCATTGATTCTTAAGAAGAAGATTTTTTAATGACCCCACCATATTTTTGTCTTATCTTGATTATCTCCCCCTGTACGGGACTAGGCCTTCAATTTAACAATTTAAACTGCCCTTCCCCCAAGGAAGCTTTGTACCAAATTTGGATAAAATTGGCCCAGTGGTTCTTGAGAAGAAGTTGAAAATGTGAAAAGTTTACAGAAGGAGGGACAAAGGGACAACAGACAACGGGTGATCAGAAAAGCTAACAAAAATGAGCTTTCAGCTCAGGTGAGCCGAAAAGGTATATGAAATTACACATTTATTCACAAAAGCAACACATGATATGACTAAAAAATTGTGTTTATTTGACAAAGTTTTGCATTTTATCACGAAAGTTTTGTGTTGTAAAACAAAAGTTATGCTTTTTGTAACAACATTTGACAAAAGTTACGCATCATAAAATTCATAATCATGAAAGTTTCGCATTAAAACACAAAAAAATATTTCCTATGAAAATGAACTCAATGGGCTTTCGTAAATATCCATAAAATTCTTTCCATACGGCGATAGAGAAATCCCAATGTTTATCTTATTATAAAAATGTTTAAATTATAATCGAAAGAAATTTTAAGGCAAAAATCAAAATAGATAGGGGTATGTCAAGTTTTGCTGATAATGTTTCAAATTGATTATTAAAGATTTTATGGCAGATGTGACACTATCTTCTGATACCCATGAGTGATCCTGTCTTTTACTCATCATCCGAAATAAGTAAAAGACAAGATCAACCATGGGTATCCAACGAAGATGTTACATTACTTTTCAGTTTTGGATCATAATCGTCTCTGATTATGTGTATTTAATGAGTTCTTAAGACTTTACGACATCTTCCCAAGATGTCTGTAAAGCTGTGTAATTTAAGTGGGGGTAAAAGTAGGAATCTCTGATTAACACTACACTGTGTGCAGTCAAGGTCTACCTGTACCATTTTACTTATTCTCTACTAAGAAGTTGATGGCTCCTTTTAAATTAATACCCTCCCCCCCCTTATTCAGATGGAGTATTAAAAATTTTTACTGTGAAATGTTATTTATACAGAAGCCAGTTGGTACCAGGTACAAAAAATATTTTATCTGCCGTGGCCACCAAATATTTATCTGGCAGCCGCCACATAAATAACTGGCGGCCACCATATAATTTCTGGTGGCCACCAGTCAACCAGGCTGCCACATATAATTCTGGCAGCGGGTAGACTTTACTTTACTGGTCCCCAGATCCGCAAGATCCTCGCGCTCATTGGACTATGATGTAACATTTACGTCACTCAACTGATAAGGGTAAATAGTCTTGCACACTTTTCGACTGATTAGGTTTAGTCTTGCACCCACCTGAGAGATTAGGGTTACTCCTTGCACATGTACATGTATTCGACTGATCAGGGCTAGTCTCGCATCCATCCGAGAGATTAGGGTTAGTACTCGCACATTATTTGACTGATTAGGGTTATCATCTGATTAGCATGATAGCATCTTCCCGGGAGATTTTGTCTGAACGTCTTAGTCCTTTCATACCATCCAAGAGATTAGGCAGGGATTAATCTAGGTATTTAGGGAAGCTACCCTTTCTGGAGAAATTGGGAAAATCTGCCCGGGTCTGGGAACCACTTGAGCGAGTGCAGGGCAAGCCCTGCTTGGGGGCCAATTGAATTTCAGCATTTTTATGACCATTTAAAGTGTAGCAAAGTAAAACCATATTTTTCATATACTGAAAAATTTTACTTTAAATTTTCAGTTTTTATGAAGGGAAAAAACATTTGAGGTTTTTATTATTGTAAGGGGAATATTTCACTCATCAAAAGGGGAAAATTAATTAGATCTTCAAGGGAAATTTTCTCTGAGGGAAAAACACTGAATATCAGTAGTAAATAAGGCGTAGATTAATCCCTGTTAGGGTTAGTGACTCTTTCTTTTAGATACATTACGAAATTCAGTTGCTTCTGTAATTTTCTGTATTTTTTTCAAGATCATAATTCGATCATCAGCTTTAATGGCATTTCATTGGTTTGTTTACAAGGAAGAATAGCTATAAGTCTGAAAGAAATGACACTAAGCATGTGCCACACGCGCTTCGTTGACAATTATTTTTTGTCGATTTTTTCAATTAATAAACAATATCCTTGCGTTACCGGTTTTCAATAGTGTAAAACTTGAGTCAAAAATTAATCTAGGCATCTGTGTTTTTCTCACCTCAATTATTTATGTATTACTTGTCAACAATACATAAATATATTCAGACATTTATTTGTTTTTGAAGTCAAGAATTTTAGTACTGTTCAACTTTCTTTGGATCCGCCATCATCCGAGTTGTTTTGAATGACGTCACCTATTTTCGATAGAAAGTATGGCGCACAGTCAGGGATTTATCAAGGCTGTTTTTACTACCGGTAAACGGTACCTTTCCCCTCTTGAGAAAGGAGAAAAATTCCCCTTTTTCAAATAGAAAAGTCTCCAATTAAACAGAGAATATTTAAAACATCGTACTGAAATTTTCCGTTTTTGTCCGATTGAAGTTTAACAGCATATCCTAATTCACAATCCTAGTCATTCAAACGCTTTTAAAAGAGAGAGTAGATTATTCAAGCTTCTAGTTGATATTGATCGGTAAACATGTGCCATGTCCATGATGTCAAAAATATACGTGTCCGATTGCAGAGTTGAGAAAAGTGTAGATGAATAAGATGGAGCTTAAATCACTATGAATCGGAAGAATGGAGTAACAACAAAAACAATGTTAGTAGTGAAACATGAAAAACAGAATTGATTTGTGATAGATATTGAGAGAAAAAATTAAAATAAAGTACTGACCTGGTTTAAATTTTTTTTTTGTTATTTAATATTTTGTCTCAAAAGTGAAGATTTTGTGGCCTTTGTAAAGGTCTACAAATGACCCTCAGAAGCTCTAAGAATGCGGGATTTTGCTCCATTTATTTAAAAATTTTCGGACCCCCCTAGAATATTCGCGCCTCCGGCGCTCAGGTCGAGCCTGCGGCTCTCATTTTTCCCCTTTACATATAAAACGGTAGTAAAACAAAATAGCTAGATAAATCCCTGACAGTTATTATCATAAAAACATCAAATTATGTTATTTTGTGTGGGTTTTTGTTTTCTTTTATTTGTTTTTTTTGGTCATTTTTTTATGGTATTGAATTTTTTGTGTCCTGTTTTCAAATAAAATCTTAACAACAAATAAAATATAATAAAATATAACATTAAAATTTTTATTTTTTTGGTTGAAATTTTATAAAATTGAAATTTCAAGCTAGGAGCCATTGTCTGTGTGGAAAGCATTATCCACAGCCTTTGGCCTATAATAATTCTCGTAATTTCCCCTTTTTGATGGATAATAATTTTCAAAGAAACAACAATAAAGCAACAGAAACAAAACTTAAAACATTAAAAAATTTCGAAATTTAAGATAAAATATCCGTAACAGGCTTCCATACTTTATTTTTTTAAGCGGAAGTTTGACCAAAGTGAGGCTTATCTATTTTAAGGCCATAACACAGAGCTTTTTAACAGACAATAACATTAAAACATCAAATGTTGTTTTCAGGCTTAAGAGATTAGGGTTTTAGAGTGAATATTTTTGGCATTATGAGAAAAGGGCGTTCACGATTTGAATATATAAATAGAATCTTACCTCTCTAAATGGCAAAACTTTCGATCTTTTTAGCTTTATTACACTTTTTACATCTGATGATAATTTTGGGATAAGAGTTCCAAAAAATTACGAAAGGTTTTAAGATTTATTGTTAAAAACATTAGCCTATCGAAATTTAAGGATACTATCGAAAATAGGTAACGTCACAATATATATTTTTTTTCTCAAAGAACGAGTTTAAAAATTTTGTAAACTAAACTTTTAACCTTGTAATTAATTTTGGGGGTCAAAAGGCTCCAAAATGTCGTATTTTAATTTTTTTATCACTCACTTGATCATATATACTGAAGTCTCCTTTGGCGGCACTTCATTTTAGCGCGTTTTTCTGGGGACCAGTAAAGTCGTTCCCTGGCAGCCGCCAGTTAATTATGTGGCGGCTGCCAGATAACATATTTTTCATAGGCGCTCCCCATGTAATTCTGTAAATGACGTATGATAAGTATATATAGGTCTACCCCTCTATACTATAAAATATCCAAGGCCTGCAACTGGGCGCCATTGTGGATTTCGCCTGGGACCTCTGACTGACTTACTTTAAGGGTTTCTGGGGTATACTGGGCTGGTTATCAGCATCGGGTACTCTAATTTATTGAAATAAAATATTTGCAAACTTTTATCCAGCACCATTCCGTTGCTTTCTCTTGTTTTCAAACATTTCTCTATTACACCGTCACACTTAGCTGATCTCGGCCGGAAGAAGTCGATTTCGTCGATTTTCAACAACTCGTACGAAAATAACTTTCGGAAGTTTGACAGTATTTAGTGGAGAAAGTACATAGGCGCTTGGTTTCAGGATGGTGTATTTTGTGTATTATGTGTTTTTTGGTTTGTCTGAATACCCTGATTAAAATAAAAATGAAAACTCGCTGAAATTAGCACGTTTTAAAAATGTCATATTCCTCGGAGTTTTTTTTTCTTTCTGGGGTACATTTTTTTTGTTTCTGTACACAAGCCCCTGTGATACTCTTTGAGAAAATAAAAAAATATTATCTCGGAAAGAGGTACTGATTTTCTAACTGATTTATTTTCTCTACACAAGTCCGTATAAGCTAGACAGGCATGTAGCAACAGGGGGGGGGGGGGGGGGGGGGGGGCGGGGGGCTGCCCGCCCCTACTTTTTTCCCAACATTACCTTTACTATTGAAAATGTGCATTGAAAGGTTGGTTGCCCCCCCCCCCCACTCATACCATAGTATTGTGATATGAAGGAAAATGTACTAGTATTGTATGGGGGAAAAAAATGAAAGTGAAAGGAAGTTGGCTTTGAAAAAATTTGACCACTACCCCACCCCCCGAAATAGGATTTTCGTGTTTGAGCGGTTTTTTTTTTTTGGCTTGTCAACTTTTACAGGTAAGTGAAAAAAAAAATGTTTCTCTCTGGCTGCCCCCCCCCCCCCCCCTCACTTTCAAAAACAATGCTACATTACGTGCCTATGAGAGTATATATACTGTACACATGACATTTTTAAAACGTGCTAATTTCAGCGAGTTTTCATTTTTATTTTAATCAGGGTATTCAGAAAACTCATTTTTATTTTAACAAAAAACACATAATACACAAAATACATATCCTGAAACCAAGCGCCTATGTACTTTCTCCACTAAATATTGTCAAACTTAAAAGTTATTTTCGAAAGTTGTTGAAAATCGACGAATTCGACTTCTTCCGGCCGAGATCAGCTAAGTGTGACGGTGTAATAGAGAAATGTTTGAAAACAAGAGAAAGCAACGGAATGGTGCTGGATAAAAGTTTGCAAATATTTTATTTCAATAAATTAGAGTACCCGATGCTGATAACCAGCCCAGTATACCCCAGAAACCCTTAAAGTAAGTCAGTCAGAGGTCCCAGGCGAAATCCACAATGGCGCCCAGTTGCAGGCCTTGGATATTTTATAGTATAGAGGGGTAGACCTATATATACTTATCATACGTCATTTACAGAATTACATGGGGAGCGCCTATGATATTTTTCTACTTGGCACCTACCGGCTTCCGTATATTTACATGAAGGTTTTCAAAATAGAATAATACAATATACCTTGCACCTGAGTCTTTAAGAATTCTTGCCCATTGATCAGCATCAAAAAACTCTGCCCGGAAGTTTGGAGCGAAGTCTGCATATTGAAAATTGGGCGGGTAGTATTTCTTCATGAAGTTAACAAATTCGGGTTGTTTTTCTCGCTGCCAGTAATACCAAAACCACACCATGTTTCCAGGCACGCTGTACACGCCCCAGTGAAGAAATATCCCGATTTTGGCATCATCATACCATTGGGATTTTTTCTCTTGTCAAGAACTCCCAGTTTGGTTCGTACAGAAAACGTTCAAGAAGAGAAAACAAAATAAATACACATAAACAACAAGGAAACAGTTTTTCGCCATTACTGATTACACCCGACGGGTTATCGTTCGCTAACTCGGTATGGAAACGTATTAGTGCCAGGTGAGACATTTTTTTAAGTAGCGGGCTAATTCTAACTTTAAAGTTAGTTTAGGAAAAAACACATTCAATAGTGACCGTTAATATTGTTTTAGCCATTGCTCTAAAAAATGAAAACATTTTTATTTAGTTTTTTTTAATTTTGTTAGTTTCCGGAAATTAACCATACTTTGATTGACTATTACATCACAATGAACTTGAAAGCTCATATCTGATTGGTCAAGTATGTAAGTCAACTTAACGTTCATTAGTCCGAAAATCCCGTCTACGTCGCCGCCATTTTCAAAACAAAGTTGAGTTACAGTATATTTTTATAATTTTATTCTAAATTAAAGTTTGATTAAGTAGGTATGCCTTCAGCAGGAGACGAAAATGTATTCAGGTAGGTGTTACACAGAAAATGCGTTTTTTTCCGGGTTTCTGTAGTTCTATTTAAGGGATTGCCGCTTATATTTATCATCAAATGATAAACATGATAAATAGAAGCTCGGGTGCTAAAATGTAGTTGAAATTTAGTAACATTACTTAGGTTGGAGTTACAGAGGTCTGGTGCAATCACTAGATTTAGATACGTAGCTTGATTTACCTACTTAGCTTTATTTACCTACCCGAGGTAGCTTTATTTAGCTACCAAATCAATTAATTTCTATAAAAAAAATCATTTTTCTCAGGGAGTGCAGAAAATATCATTTTGATACAGTGATCATTTTCAACTTTGAACTCATCTGAAAACAATTCATGAAAAAATCCCTCTTAAAGAAATGTCCTTTTCTGCGCAATTGCAATCAAAGTTCTGAAAGTTTTGGGGCTATGTATGACAGTTATAGAACAGTTACTCCTTGAATGAAATGACAAAGAAGACCAGTTCCGGTTAACACAATAATAGGTTGGTAATTATTCAACACAATGTGAAGTAATCATATTCAGCCATGCCTCAGCACACGCATGAAAGAGGACAGTTAACCAAACAATGGAATTACATGTTTTGCTCTAAATTGTCCAAACGCAACAATGTATAACCTATCTCTGCTTTGGATTGTTTTTTTAAACCTCCCTAGTATAAATATTAATAGTCATTTAAATGCGATTTTTTGTCTCTTTTTAATAAAAAGAAAAATTTTGAAAAGTTACATTGAAATAGCTAAATAAAGCTACCTGAGGTAGGTAAATAAAGCTACGTAGCTAAATCTAGTGATTGTACTGGACCTGTTACAGACATTGGCTTGCAGCAAAAAAAAAAAAAAAAAAAATCATTGAAAATCTAAGAAATGTCTTTGAATTAGAAGAAGAAAATTCTGTATGAACCATGAACTAGCCAAGAAATCTATGGAGAGAACAATGTATTAAACAACAGCAGGGTTCTCCACCACAAGTTTTCTATAGCGGTCTACCATGGCATGTGTGACATGCTTACGCCATAGGCGCTTGGTGTCAGGATGGGGAATTTTGTGTATTACGTTTTTTCTCAGCTGTTTTTATGTTACTACACATTGGTGGGTAGTGTGAAGATCTATTTTCTGTTAAAAAATGATTGAACACCTTTCTCTTGTCACAGGGGCTGGTCACGCCTTATTTGTCTTCTTTAAATTTGACCACCCCTATATAGAAGAAGACAAAAAGTTATCACCAAACCCTATGATTTTTTAAAAAGAGTAACACTTAAAACGCATCACAAATTACAATGACCATGGCGCCCTGTTTTACAAAAAAACTTATGACTTACACCAAAGAAGATGGGGGAACAAGGCGGGCAGAATGCCTATAGCGTCCGATATTAAGAAATCATATTCAGTATGTGAATTGAGTATTTCAATTATTTTCTAATTATTGAAATTTTTGAAATTATGAGAAAAAAAACTTTTCTGAAAGAAAAAAATCACGTTTAAAAAAATTTCTTTCATAGAATTTATAGATGGTATTCGTGGGATTTGAATCCTAGCAATAAAAATCCAGCGTATCAATAGCATACTGCTTGGAGACTAACGCGTCAACCACTATGCTAGATCACTCATGGTGATTTGGGGCATTAAATCATGTTTGTGATATGACCCGCGTTTTAATGGACTTGAAGTATTTCTCAGAAAGATGCGAATGTTGTGTCATAAAAGTGTACTTTTAAGGTTTAGTGTGTCTTCGCTCTGTGTTTTTGTAAACCAAAAAATGTGTATTTTATTGCAAACTTTTAGGATCATTTTTCAAAAAAAATGGAGCGAAGACCCACTCATATTGAAAATTTGTGTTATAATTAAAATTCCTAGATTTTACAATCGGAAACATTTTTTGGTTTTTATAGTTACATAGTCAATAGTTCTTTTCTAAAACTGGCCCATAGCCTTTGGGAAAAAGTTTCATGTAGCCGTAAGGGATAGTAATTTTTTTTTTTTTTTTAATTAACTCTGTTTAGATAGAAAGGAATACTCTTTTTAATCTTTAAAAAGTAAACTAAATTGATATCTTAATGTGGAGAAAACTTCACACATTTACAACAAAAAATGCATACTGGGTATTTAGATTAATTTAAAAATTGGATTCCAACATAAAAATGCATTTCAAAGTAATGTAAAATTGGGTCATATTTGGTTTAAACTCCGGAAACTTGTGAATTTCTTCAAACTTGTGTTTTCTTCATACCACATCCATCACATGGTATAATTTATGTCAAACTCAAGGATTAGGTTATAGAAGTCTTGTTTAGGCAGCCATACTAGTTTTGAAATTTTCTGCAGTAAATTGAAACATTCATTGTTCCTAATTTTTTTTTTTTTTTTTTTTTTTTTTACATTTAAACATGACTTGTCTGAATTACTCTTCTTACAATTTCAAAATTCTAGCTCAATAGCTTTCACAACTTATTCTAGGTACATGTACTTCATTCTGAGGTATACCTCATGAAAAAGAGTCTTGTCTTTTCAGAAAGCATAAAAACTTCAGACTGGCATCTACTTTGGTGCAATCTGATTAAATGTATGTTTTAATGATTGTTTGAGTTGGTACTTATTTTTTCCAGATTGAAAATGGTTGATATTAATCATGCTAATTTGGCATATAACTTTGTTGTTGATGAAATAATGTTATGTTCAATGTGAATTTAAATATTCTGAACCTTTGTTTTCTTTCTAGACTTCCAGAAGTTAAAGATGAGAAAAAATCAAGACGTCATTCAATCATAGGTTTAGGTTTTGACATTCCAAAACTGGTAAATTTTACATATACATGTGTTCATATTCACTGAGACTGAGTCTAGTTAGTTGTCTCAGTTATGAACTCGGTCTCAATTTGTCTCAGTTACTGGACTTTTGAGCTTGAATACTGATCTCCTCATATTTCATTATTTGTGTAACTTAATTGTGTCATTATTTATTTTATTGCTTGCAGGGAAAACGAAAAAGAAAACAAGCAGATGAAGACAGTATTAGCATTCAGAGTTATGACACAAGTAAAGCTAAGGTTGGTTCCAATCCTTAAGTTTAACGAAGCAGTTTTTGTCCCAGCTGTATGATCCTGCTAGGGTTTGCCCTACTCGCCTAGTCCCAGTGGCCATGATTAGTTGATTATTGAAAATACAACCTAGATTAAAATGCTAACAAGTATAAAAACTGCTGCACCAGTGCTTTTATGCTTTTGGTTGTTATTTTAATATATCAACCTTCCAGTGATAGATTTTCAAATATTAGCATGATCAGCAGTTATCATTTTTTCACCAAAAAAAAAAAGTAACACTTCTTTTTTTCAAAACGTACATGTTAGAAAGAGGACAATTCTATGCACTAGGGGTATTATTATTATTGTTTTAAACACCCGCTGTCATTTTTATCAGGAGGCTAGTAGTATTGTAAATATGAAAATTAGGAAGCTTTTCTTAACATGCTTATTGTCTGATAAATTTTAACTGAAAATATTCAGTTGAAATTCTTATCTACCTGGAGTGGAGCATTCACTTTTTACCTGGCCCTGTTTGTTTAAGGATTTTTCATTGATATCATGGGGGCCTTGGAGAGAACTGTTTATCAGTAAGAGGGACTCTTTCATCTTGGGACTGGTCTACACTGGGTGTTCAGACTTACCTGAGTCAGAAAAACCTGAACTAATCAGGAAATTTTATTTCTTATTTAACCTGGATATTTTTATGTGTTTTCCTTAAAAAAAAAAGATAAAAAATTTGATAGATTGATGTTCAATACTTCATTCCTTCTTGTCAGACAGAAAATTGTATACTGAAATTAATTTAGAACTGAAAGTGAGGATTTAACTACAGTCAGCACTGAAATTCATTGTACACCAGTGTGAACACAGTTCAATGTTACAAAGTTTCTGTTCCAAGTATGTGAAAGGGATTTAAACATTGTGAGTCACAGAGCATTTACCAGAATAAACATGTAATGTGTTGGGTCAGATGGAGGTGTTGAACGAGGCGACATGTTCTTGTGTCATAGAACTAGAGACCTTGTTCATGCAGGCCTTATACACACCACAACCGAAGGTAATGTCTGGCTTGTAGAAGTTCATTCCTACATCACAGGAAATACCTCAATCCACACCTTTACTGATCTTGGTTGACACAGTGTGAATAATTAAACACGAAGTTTAGTCTGACTCTGGATACATTTCAGGAGGCCACATTAATAAGTAGTGTCCCAGGGTCTATTCGAATCAGTAAAGGCCTTCTCTGGGCTTCCTCGTGTTTTCCTCACAGTCCATTTCTAATTAATTATAAGTATTAGTTTGAACAAGTTTAGCCGAGGACAACCAAGCCTCAAATCTAATCTAAAGTCTAATAAACATTACACTCTGAAGTAATGTCAGGCCTTTCAAAATCTGCCTGTACCCAGTAGATCATCAAGTTATTTAGCATGCTGCTTGCAATTTTTAATTGGTTGGGAATTTATTGCAAAAAGTGAATGAAATATCCATTTGCAGCATACCACTAGCCTAACTCTGAAATAGGTAAGGCCCAGGCATTAGGTGATCCTAATTGCACATACCCCTAACACTGTTAATGAACATGATGAATGAAAGTAGTCAAATTTTCATTCTTTGGAGAAGGAAGTCCTTTAATGTTATCATGCTGAATAACTGCAAACAATTGGGAAGGTCTGCTTGGATTAGAATTTGTCTCTATCATGTCCATCACCTGTAATTTACAGGTGTGATCAAACGTAGGAAGCTAAATAGTTTCCTCACTAGATCAGGTTGTAAAGTACCTGATAAAGATTTCTTGTTTCCATCTGTACAAATTTCTTACAAACAAGCACATATTAAGCTTGATAAAACTGGTATAATCATGGTATAGCGATGGAAGTTTCATTCTGAAGTTGAAGATTTAGGGTAATGATTGATTATCATTACTGTCTATTTCATTTACCGTACATTAATAAAGAAATTTTGCGAATCATATTATGATTTTTAAATGTTTTTTTTTAGCAGAAAAAGAGCCGAAAATCAATGCTTAGAGTTTCCTCCATTGCCAATCTTCTGTCTCCTTCAAAGTCTATCAAGAGAGAAAATGAATTTCAAGTAAGCAACTAAGTTTTACATTCTGAGAAGATTTGAGTTCACCTGTCGGAATGTCAAGTGAACCTAAAAGTAATGCCTATCATAGCCCTCAATTATGATGGACTGTCTCTGTTCTGGTCAACATCAAAGATTGTGTTTTAGGGGTTAGACATAACATTGAATTTATAAATGTCTGTATCTATATTTCAGAGATCAATCAGCTTGAAAGTTCCCCCATCCCCTGTTACCAAACACAATGTGACCCCTTACAAGGCCCCCCAGCCTTCCCCCGCAAAGCGGCGACTCAGTCGCACATGGAGTGAGATGATGAGTACTACAGAGGGACATATCCCCTCACAGCTGTCACACAGAGACATCAAAAGACAAGAGGTACATGTGATTAAATGCTAAAAACAGATGTAAGAGTTGGTGAAGATACATGTTTCTGAATCAGTCTTAGTAGTAAAGGATGTTTACTTATTTAAATTACTTATTCTATCTGTATTGGGAGAACTTGTATTTAGGGTATGTTTATGAAAAATCATTTTTATGCCCCACCTTGTAAAAATGTGAGGAAATTAAAAAGAATATTTGAGAAAAACAATAGTAGATGACATGTATACAAGATACAAAGGTTGCTTGGGGCCATGTGGTGCTTAGTGTCTTTTTAGTCCTTTTCACAAAAAGATCCCTGAAATAATGGCCACTTGGTAATGGGGAGCCTCAGTATGTAATCTTAGTTTTGCCTTGTACAATAAAAAAATTTTTTTAAAATCTTTTCAAGCCGCAACAAAGTTCATTTTTGTGTTATTCTTGACGACAATACTAGTTATATTGACTAGGGGTGAAACGCTACGCCTTCTTCACGGTTTGATACGTATCGTAAAATTTGGTATTGGTTTGGTTATTCTCGATACGATACATTTTGATAGAAGGAAACAAATTCAACTGTTGTTTTACATGTTTTATGCTTCCTTTTACTTAATCTAGTCAAATAATTTATGTGCAAAATGGATAGAAAAAATCAATGTAATTGATTTGACTGTTAAAAATTATTTTACAAACTGCAAGTCCACAAAAATTAACGTTTTTTTAGCTCACCTGAGCTGAAGGCTCAAGTGAGCTTTTCTGATCACATTTTGTCCGGCGTCCGTCTGTCTGTAAACTTTTCACATTTTCGACTTCTTCTCAAGAACCGCTGGGCCAATTTCAACCAAACTTGCCACAAAACATCCTTGGGTGAAGGGGATTCAAATTTGTTCATTCAAGGGGAGATAATTGGGAATTAATGAAAATTTGGTGGTATACTTTAAAAATCTTCTTCTCAAGAACCACTGTGCCAGGAAAGATGAAACTTATTGGGAAACATCCTTACGTAGTGTAGATTCAAGTTTGTTCAAATCATGACCCCCGGGGGTAGGGCGGGGCCACAATGGCCTACCAAAATTTTGCATTGAAATATATAGGAAAATTCTTAAAAAATCTTCTTCTGAAGAATAACAAAGCCATAATTGATCATATTTATATGGAAGCATCCTCAGGTAGTGTAGATTTAAGTTTGTTCAAATCATGACCCCCCATAGGGTAGGGCAGGGCCACAATGGCCGACCAAAGTTTTACATAGAAATATATAGGAAAATTCTTAAAAAATCTTCTTCTGAAGAATAACAAAGCCATAATTGATCATATTTATATGAAAGCATCCTCAGGTAGTGTAGATTCAAGTTTGTTCAAATCATGACTCCCCGGGGTATAGCGGGGCCACAATGGCCGACCAAAGTTTTACAAAGAAATATATAGGAAAATTCTTTAAAAATCTTCTTCTCAAGAATAGCAAAGTTATAATTGATCATATTTATATGGAAGCATCCTCAGGAAGTGTAGATTTAAGTTTGTTCAAATCATGACCCCCGGGGGTAGGGCGGGGTCACAATGGCCGACCAAAGTTTTGCATAGAAATATAGAGGAAAATTCTTTAAAAATCTTCTTCTGAAGAATAGCAGAGCCATGATTAGTCTTGGGACTACTTTTGGATTAAACTTTTCAATAATAAACTAATTTCTAGTTGGCGTCCCAGGTTAAGTTTTTTGGAGCAGTTTTCTTTTTAAGTACTTCTATGTCCTATATTGATTAGACATGCATGGAAGATGCTTCTAATGTGTTTCATTGTACCAGTCAAAGTTTCAGATGCTGCAATTTCAGCAAAGGAATGGCCAGGTTAATGTTTTTGGAGCAGGTTAACATTTTTGGTGCAGTTTTTGGTGCAGGTTTCATTTCCAGGTAACTATAAGCCCTATGTTGACCAAACTTGCATGGTTGATACATCTAAGGATGCATACTACTGGGCTTGCTTCAGATGCTGAATCTGACCTACATTTTCCGGATGAGTGAACAGGTTAAAGTTTTTGGTGCAGGTTTCATTTCCAAATAACTATAAGCCCTATGTTGACCAAACTTGCATGGATGATACATCTAAGGATGCATACTATCAGGCTTGCTTCGGATGCTGAATGTGACTTACATTTCCGTTTGAGTGAACAGGTTAAAGTATTTGGTGCAGGTTTCATTTCCAAGTAAATATAAGCCCTATGTTGACCAAACTTGCATGGATGATACATCTAAGGATGCATACTATCAGGCTTGCTTCAGATGCTGAATCTGACCTACATTTTCCGGTTGAGTGAACAGGTTAAATTTTTTTGGGCAGGTTTTATTTCCAAGTTACTATAAGCCCTATGTTGACCAAACTTGCATGGATGATACGTCTAAGGATGCATACTACCGGGCTTGCTTCGGAAAATCTGACCTACATTTTCGGTTGAGTGAACAGGTTAAAGTTTTTGGTGCAGGTTTCATTTCCAAGTAACTATAAGCCCTATGTTGACCAAACTTGCATGGATGATACATCTAAGGATGCATACTATCAGGCTTGCTTCAGATGCTGAATCTGACCTACATTTTCCGGTTGAGTGAACAGGTTAAATTTTTTTGGGCAGGTTTTATTTCCAAGTTACTGTAAGCCCTATGTTGACCAAACTTGCATGGATGATACGTCTAAGGATGCATACTACCGGGCTTGCTTCGGATGCTGAATCTGACCTACATTTTCCGGTTGAGTGATAAGGTTAAAGTTTTTGGTGCAGGTTTCATTTCCAAGAAACTATAAGCCCTATGTTGACCAAACTTGCATGGATGATACATCTAAGGATGCATACTATCAGGCTTGCTTCGAATGCTGAATCTGATCTACAATGTACATTTTCCGGTTGAGTGAACAGGTTAAAGTTTTTGATGCATAATTCATTTCCAAGTAACTATGACTTCTTTAATGACCAAACTTGCACGTATGATACATCTAAGGATGCATACTACCGGGCTTGCTTCAGATGCTGAATCTGACCTACATTTTCTGGTTGAGTGAACAGGTTAATGTTTTTTGTGCAGGTTTCATTTCCAAGTAACTATAAGCCCTATGTTGACCAAACTTGCATGGATGATACATCTAAGGATGCATACTACCGGGCTTGCTTCGGATGCTGAATCTGACCTACATTTTGTGGATGAGTGTTAGTTTGTGATGAATGTATCATTTCCAATTAACTATGAGCCCTATAATGAGCAAACTTGCATGGACGATACATCTTAGGATGCACACTAATGGACTTACTTTGGATGCTGAATTCGACATACATTTTTTCAGATAATAGACCAGGTAAAAGTTATGGGTGCAGGTCAATTACCAAAAAACTTGAAGGCTTATATAACATTGTATAAACCAAACCAAACTTGCACAAATGTTGCATCAGGAGATGAAAACTCTCAAATTTGCTTCAGATGCTTAATTTTAATTACATTTTCATGAACAACTAGTTAAAATTTTTTATGTAGGTCTATTTCAATGTATTCGATCAAAATTGCTTAAATATTTTCATTTCTGGAATGTACACTTTTTGTTGGTTAATTGTGTGACTTTGCCTTACTTAAAGACAACATTCGTTGAGGTGAGCTCTGTAATCTCTGATTACCTATGTTTTATCGTGTATCGAACCGAGAAAAAATAACGAGGTGAAACCGTTTCACTCCTAATATTGACAACATAAATTTCACAGACAGGAAAGAAGGGTTCATTGTCAATTTATTTATACAAGATATGAAGAAGAATTATGATCTACAAAAATGGGGATCTGGTTCTGTAGCCAAACTACTTTGTCATCTGAGTTCAGTGATTCCTTTGTGTTTCAGGCAATATATGAGTTGTATCAGGGTGAAAATGATCTGGTTGAAGACTTGACCATCGTAAAAAAGGTGAGGTGTTTCTTAATAGCTGAAATAAATCAACAGATACAGAATTAATTAACTCTCTTACTCCTTATTATACCCCCCACTCTGAAGGAGATTGGGGTATACTGTTTTACCCTTGTGTGTCTGTCTGTTTGTCCGTCTGTATGTCTGTCTGTAATAAATTTTGGTCACAGTTTTCTAAGCAACTACTCATCGCAGATGCTTGAAATTTTAGCACATTCTTTGCTAAGGCATGCCAATTGTTGGGATTCATTTTTGCTCAAATCCAATGTCAACTTCCTGTTCATCTGTGCGTCTGTTTGTTTTATACATAACAAATTTTGGTCACAGTTTTCTGAGCAACTACTTATCACAGATGCTTGAAATTTTAACACAATCTTCTCTGAGGCATGCCATATGGTGGGATTCATTTTTGTTTAAATCTGACATCAATTTCCTGTTTATCCATGCATCTGTCCGTTTCATACATAACAAATTTTGGTCACAGTTTTCTCAGCAACTACTCATCGCAGATACTTCAAATTCTAGCACTTCCTTAGTTGAGGCATGCCATATGGTTGGATTTATTTTTATGTGAATCTGATGTCAACTTCCTATTTATCTGTACATCTGCCCATAACCGAACTTGTGTATATTAACATGATAGTGTATATTCACATCAGAGCGGGGGTATTCCTAGTGAGCACTGGCTCACAGATTTCTTGTTTTAATTAATTTTTAAACAGATGCTATGAATTACATAAAAAATGTATGACTTGATAGTTATTTGAGTTCATAGTACATATAGTATGGATCATATTCTGTGATGCAAGTCTGGATCCTATATATAATGGAATTATATAAGTACTATAATGCTGCTTCACATGTACAATGGAATACTACTGCAGATGTCCTTCAAATATTTAAAAAGAATGCCAGCAAGGGCTTGCAGGTCATAGCTACAAGTATTGATAGTATGACATGTATTTTGAAATATGGTAACAAATTTTTTTTTTATAGACATACCGGGATTCTATGGAGAAGTTACAACTAATGACAGCTTGGGAACTAAGCCAGATATTTGGTCCCATTGACATGCTTATTCCTATTCATGAAGGTAATAGACTGATAAAAAAAAGTGATACCTTTCATTTTTACCCTAGGACTTAAGTTGTGCTGGTTACTACCGGTAAAAATTTTACTGACAAGAAGTTTATGTTGTTGGCCAGAAGTTGTTAAAGATAGATCTGTTGTTTTCTTTTGTCTTCAGAGCTTGCATGTGGTCTACAGAACCAGAGACTACCAGATGGGACGACCCGAGATGTGGGAGCTCTCTTGGTGGAGTGGGTAAGATCATTATCATGTGACTACTGTACCACAAATAATATTGTAGTGTGTATTTAAACAAAAGATCCCTACAATAATCAATAGATGGAATTTTTAACCAATCAAAGAGAAACATTCTGTTTCGAAAAACAGAGGTAATCTTGCACAAAATTTGAAAAGCACAAGTCTATCAAGTATTCCATTCTTCCGTATTTACACTTTGTTAAATGTATTTTGATTTACTTTATTTTATGATTTTAATACAGTCACACTTGTCATAGCGGTCACTTGTCCTATGCCGTTATTTTATTTCCTCCCAATGAAATTTCCTATGTAAAGTAACTCTGTTAAGCGGTCACCTGCGTAACGCGGTCATCAGTCATCAATTTTCAAACAAAATCGCCACTTTTCCCTTCTTTAGTGGCCATTTGGTCCAATCACGTGACCTGATCTAGAGTCAGTTGACTCCCAAATTTTGTTACTAATGTATATAATTGGTCAAGCGTAGCGGGATAATGAACAAAATTGATAAATGGATTTTATTTAATACCAATTATATTACTCGATAAGCATATGAATTACTTTACAAACTAACTGCTTCTATATTTTACAAAACTCGAACAACGATGCTGATGGCGAAAAAGTTTACAAGAAAAAAAGAATATCGATAACTGATTATGAGGGTCTTAACTTCTGGATTTTGAGTCAAGTTTAAAAAAAGAACAAAGTAACTATATTCATCTATTAATGGATATGATATTTTTGTTTACCATGCATTTACAGAGTATAAATTAGTTACGATATCGCATGCCCAACTCAGAGAGCTGTAACGTAATTTTTTTTATTATATACCCATCAATTTCCTTGTTTTTGTTACTGTTAATTTTACAGAGTTTGATCCGCTTTTCCGGATCACCACACTGTGGTTTTCTGAATCCATATCGCCACTCTCTGAAACTGATGACGTAGTACGCAAAAACATGACGTTATTTTTCTTGCGCGTTAAAAAGTCCCTTGTTATTATGCTTTGTTTTATGGATAAATGTTATACAATTGATCTCTAAAGTTTTATTCTGCTATATTTAGCTAGTTATAAGGGGGTATATAATAAATTTATCATTATAACAGTAACTTGATCCGAAGAGCCGTATCACGTCTCGTTGACAGGCGCGGATCATCAGATCAAACTCGACGCTTCGCGTCTCGTTAGATCTGATGATCCGTGCCTGTCAACTCGACGTGATACGACCCTTGGATCAAGTTACTGTTATAATAATATATATTTATACATGAAAGGCATTTTAATTATCACACCTAGGAAACTTGCATCGTTTGTAGAAGCCATAATTACGGTTTATATACACATTGTAGCTTGAGTATGTTGTGAATTTTACAAAGGAAAACGACAGTTAGGGATTAGTAATGCTTCATTGCTTAGGACACGTGTGCACCTCTTTGATCAACTGAGAGTACGTCTGACAGTGACTTGTCTGTTTAATATACAACAATTAATGTACATGTATTTAAAAAGATACATGAACAGAGGTTAATTTTTATGAATCAAGTTTAGATGAACATGATAAGTTTAGATAAAATATTCATTTCTTACACTAGAAAAAAAATCTGTGTTGTTTTGATGGGGGATAATGCAACACCCTGTATTTTTCAATATACAGGTATTTTATTAATTTTCTTGAATTCATAAAATTTAGTTTGAATTCATTCAAAAAAAGTCATGCATCTGCGGAATAAAAAAAATAAGTGGATCACTAAAGTCCAATACATAATTTTCTTGTGTATTTTGTAGTGAAATACATAATATAAACACAAAACTGACATATTTATATATAAATTCCTTTAAAAAAAGATGAACCTCTATCCAAAGGTCACCTCTCTATAAAGGTCACTTTTGATGGATCCCATAGGTGACTGCTTAATACAGTTTGACTGTAATTTGTTTTTCTTAGACTTGTTATTTCTCTTGTGTTTAAAGAATCATGTAGAATTTTTTAAGTATAGGTAAAGATAAAAATTTGCTCAAAAGTGGAGGAGCAAACCTCTTTAAGTAGAACTTCTCTTTTTCTATACAGGTACAGAAACTAAAGGAGTATGTTCCATTCTGTGCCAATCAGGTGTTTGGAAAGGCTATGTTGGACGAGAAGAAGAACGATCCAGCGGTAGATGATTTCCTACAGAGGTGCCAGGATTCTCCTTTCAGTCGCAAACTTGACCTGTGGACTTTGTTAGGTAATATTTTATAAATGTTTCTGATCTGGATCCGAAAATAAAAAAAAAATGTTTCAAAAGTAGTTCACAGGAGCCAGAGTTTAGCTCTTCTCATTGAAGTTTATCTGTTGTCTTCTTATACGCCCGTCTTAAGACGGGACGTATTATGTTATAGGCTTCGTGTCTGTCCGTCCATCTGTCCGTCTGTTAGCTTTTCTCGTGTCCGACTTATAACTTTAATACTATAAGGCCTAGAGTTATCAAACTTTGTCAGCTGATGCATCTTGGGTAGAAGGTGTGTCGCGCACAAAAAGTAGGTCACTCTGACCTATAATTAAAAAGTTACAGCCAAATATGGAAAAATCCTTTTCGGTCCATAACTAGAAAACTATTAGACTTAGAATCATCAAACTTGGCCAGTTTATGCATCTTAGTTAGAAGGTGTGTCACGACCTATTTCAAGGTCACTGTGACCTTTAATTTAAGTGAATTTTT